TATGTCTATCTGTCACTGAGTGAGTTAGTGAGTAAGTGACTGAGTGAGTCATTCATTCAGTCAGTCAGTCGTGCTGTGCGTCCCTCTATGTCTATCTGTCACTGAGTGAGTTAGTGAGTAAGTGACTGAGTGAGTCATTCATTCAGTCAGTCAGTCGTGCTGTGCGTCCCTCTATGTCTATCTGTCACTGAGTGAGTTAGTGAGTAAGTGACTGAGTGAGTCATTCATTCAGTCAGTCAGTCGTGCTGTGCGTCCCTCTATGTCTATCTGTCACTGAGTGAGTTAGTGAGTAAGTGACTGAGTGAGTCATTCATTCAGTCAGTCAGTCGTGCTGTGCGTCCCTCTATGTCTATCTGTCACTGAGTGAGTTAGTGAGTAAGTGACTGAGTGAGTCATTCATTCAGTCAGTCAGTCGTGCTGTGCGTCCCTCTATGTCTATCTGTCACTGAGTGAGTTAGTGAGTAAGTGACTGAGTGAGTCATTCATTCAGTCAGTCAGTCGTGCTGTGCGTCCCTCTATGTCTATCTGTCACTGAGTGAGTTAGTGAGTAAGTGACTGAGTGAGTCATTCATTCAGTCAGTCAGTCGTGCTGTGCGTCCCTCTATGTCTATCTGTCACTGAGTGAGTTAGTGAGTAAGTGACTGAGTGAGTCATTCATTCAGTCAGTCAGTCGTGCTGTGCGTCCCTCTTTATGTCTATCTGTCACTGAGTGAGTTAGTGAGTAAGTGACTGAGTGAGTCATTCATTCAGTCAGTCAGTCGTGCTGTGCGTCCCTCTATGTCTATCTGTCACTGAGTGAGTTAGTGAGTAAGTGACTGAGTGAGTCATTCATTCAGTCAGTCAGTCGTGCTGTGCGTCCCTCTTTATGTCTATCTGTCACTGAGTGAGTTAGTGAGTAAGTGACTGAGTGAGTCATTCATTCAGTCAGTCAGTCGTGCTGTGCGTCCCTCTATGTCTATCTGTCACTGAGTGAGTTAGTGAGTAAGTGACTGAGTGAGTCATTCATTCAGTCAGTCAGTCGTGCTGTGCGTCCCTCTTTATGTCTATCTGTCACTGAGTGAGTTAGTGAGTAAGTGACTGAGTGAGTCATTCATTCAGTCAGTCAGTCGTGCTATGCGTCCCTCTTTATGTTTATCTGTGACTGAGTGAGTTAGTAAGTGACTGAGTGAGTCATTCATTCAGTCAGTCAGTCATGCTGTGCGTCCCTCTTTTTGTCCGTCAGACAGTTAGTCTGTGGGTTCACCAGTCAGTTTGTGAGTTCTTAGTCAGCAAGTCAGTAAGTCAACCGGAAAGTAAAGGAGTCAGTCAGTGAGTAGGTAAAACAGTCATTAATTCATTACGCTAAATTGTTTGTAGTTAAGCCAATTAATTGAGTCGCCGAGTCAATCAAAAAGGTCGGTAAGGTCATTAATTCCGTTAGTTCAGTCTTTCAGTCATTCAGTCATTTCCTAATTTCCTCATTCCGTCACTCCGTCATTCTATCATATAGTTATTCACCCACTTGGTCATTCAGTCATTCAGCCCATCAGTTATTAACTTGGCTAAAGTTAGTTTGCTAGATAGTCAGAAAATGCCATCAGTTTTCTAAATTAGTCCTTAGTAGCAGGGAAGTAATAAAGCTCAGATGTCGTTCCGCTGTTTGACTTGTTAATCAGTCACCGTCAATATGTCAACTAGCAGAGAAAAAGACTATAAGTTTAATACGTGTTCTTTCAATGCAATGGTCTCGCAACTACTCATGTTTGGGCACATAGTATGAAAGAGTGGAGGAAGAAATGTCTTTCAAAATGTTTTTATTCTCAGTTAAAAAATACGAAAAAAAACTATACCAGTGAAGTAAGTAAAGTATATCCGTTGATTACTGTGAAAGGCTGTTTCTCTTCCGTTTGAATGTTTTATTTTGCAATTTTTTTTTTCCTGTGGTTCCACAAAATGTTGCAAAATGTCTATAAGTTTGTCAGTTCAAGCCTTTGTAATTTCTATGTATCTGCCTGTTGTTCTTTTAGGTCTTACGTGTCTTTGAGTTTTTCTTTTAGTGGTCGATAGACCTATTGCCCCTATCTGTCCCTCATCTGCAAGTTAGTAACTCTCTGTCTTTGTTACCGTCATTTTCTGTTTATTATTTTTTTTTGCCTGTTTGATTGGTTATCTATCTTCTTGTTTCAGTGTAGGTGTTTGTTTGTTCGTTTCTCTGTCCCTGTTTCTGTCTGTCTGTCTGTTTATTAGTCTGTCAGTCCGTTAATTTGTCAATCTATCAGTCAGTTAGTGAGTCAGTCTATCAGTCAGTCAGTCAGCCTGTCTGACTGTCCGTCTGTCCGTCTGTCTATATGTCAGTCTCTCTGTGTCTATTTGTCTGTCCGTCTGTCTGTCTGTCTGTCTGTCAGTCTGTCTCTATGTCAGTCTGTCTGTCTGTCCGTCTGTCAGTCTGTCTATCTGTCTGTCTGTATTTCTGTAAGTCTGTCTATAAGTTCGTCTGTCTGTCAGTCAGTCAGTCAGCCTCCGTCTGTCTGACTGACTGTCTGTTTGTGGGTTGGTTGGTTGGTTTTTCTGTCTATTCGTCTGTCTGTTTGTCCTTTAGGCAGTTGTAATAATTGGTGAAGTTACTAAGTGACGTTCGATAGCGAAGTAGTTGTTCATTTTTCTTGATAGCTAGTTGTTAGTTGTGTTAAACTTACAGAGAGTAACAGTTGCGTAAGATCAGTGAGACTTGCGCAGAGTCATTAGCTTAGTATGAGGTCAGATCAAATGTCGTCCGTCAAACTGTCAGTACAGTAAGTAGCAGGCAGTAGGGAGTAGCGAAGTTGTCTTAAATGTATAATCTAATTTTGTCGTTGTAGCTAGCCGGTCTGACGGTTAATTTCTTCTCCTGTCTGTTTGACTGTCTGTCAGTCTGTATAGTCACGGGGTAAGCGGAGAGGTGAAAGTTGAGTCAACCAGTCCGTCAATATTTAATCAAGCGATCTATAACTTTGTCGGTCATCTAAACAGTTAAGGCCCTCGTTTTCAAATCATCAATCTGTAAGTCTGTATCTTTGGTGGCGCATTATCGACAGCCAGCTAGTCTGCCTGCCAACTAGTCCGTCAGTTCGGAATGTCAGTCAGACAGTTCGTCAGAGTGTGCGTCAGACAGTTCAACAGTTGGTCAAACAATTGATCAGACAGTCAGCCAGACAGCTAGTTAGTTGTTTTTGAGATTATTGTCTATAATTATAAGTTACTCTGTTATCGTTCAGTCGGCTTATAATCCGGGCTAGTCCTTGACATACAGTTGATTAACAGTTTAGCAACAACTCAAGCCTGTTAGCGAGCGAGGGTGGTCTGTGTCACTGTTGGTCTCCCTGTCAGATTGTCAGTCGGGTCTGTTGTGACTGGTTGTTATGCACTAATCGCGGAGTAAAATGTGTTTTTGCCTGTCTGTCAGTCGTATACATGGCACACAAACTACTGTTAGTCTATCTTAGAAATGATTCATTTAAGAATAACAATTCTTTGTTGTCGACGACAGTTAACACTCGGATGTCGTCATCTGCCATCGATATCATTTTAGAAAAAAATAAAGAAATATTGGTGATTCCTGGCGGACATGCCATCGAGAAAAACAAGAAAAACTGATTCATTTTGCCATGAACGTGTGGCTATTTACAAAACTACTTGTTTCCTTGTCAAAAATAATATTGAAATATCTTACCTTACTTGTCTTACCTCAAGGTAAATACGTATTGTCCGCTGAAAATAAGCCTTAGAATGTGAATTGAAATCTCACTATGGATGGGTAAGGTATAAATAAATGAAGATTAAAAATTCCATACTATAATATATAAATGATTATCATCAAATTCATTATTACCGAAAAAGTTATCAATCTACAAAACCGCCAATTTTACGGCGTATCTATTTCGCGCTAATTGTGAAGTTCAGGAAGAATCACCCATTTGAATGAATCATGCTTAACGAATAATAGAAATGGTTCCTAAAACCGATATGTACTGAAAAATATATATACATGAACAATATACATACTAAAATGACTATTCACTTAAGAGTTTTTAACATAAAATATATTAGAATTTTTTCCTTTTCCATGAGTTTGCAATCAAATAGCAAGAAATGTTCACCAAATCCTTCTTCAAGCTCGTTGGTAGATGATGAACCATGTGGAAAAATACTTTTCATCGAAGAAACATTTGCATTTAAGTTAATTGCTTCGAAGTCCCCCACGATGCAATTAAGTTGTTTGCATGGCTAAAACTTTTAGCCTGGAAATGGGAAAAATTCTGTCGACTAATAAAACTACTGGAACTTCTTTCATCAGCCGTCAAGATTCAATTGAGTGAATAGCAGAATCTATTCACTGATATATCCGTGGTCTAATTAAATGCAAGTGCATACTGATATTCTTAGAGTTTATAAATTTAAATGTCGGAAAATTATTCTAATGCTAGCTAGACGACAGGTGAGATCTAGTCAATGCTCTTCCCCTTTAATTGACCACGGAAAATTTCCCTCAGCTGGAAGTCTAATACGGTCAAAGAAACAAGCAATGTTCTCTGCTTATCCTCCATTTTGAAAACGAAGTATTTCCGATCTTTTCCGATCTTTTCCGATCTTTTCCGATCTTTTCCGATCTTTTCGGAACTATACATTACTGAGGTACTCTAGCGACGGGGAGCGAAAGTCAAGATTCTCATGACGGACTCGACCAGCACTTGTTCCCTTGACTGCACATTTTTTGCATGATCTTAGCTCAAGTTGTTAACTCTAAAGCAAGACCACACTTCAAAAAGACAAGCTGCTGAGTGAAAGCGAAAGAAAATACATAAAGGATAAGCTAAAGTAGTAATTGCCCTCCAGGAAGTCTCACCGTAAAACACCGTCTGAACTGGTGTGGTCGCAAAGTTCCTCATTTCGAAGAAGGAATCCTGCGCCCACAGTGCAACATTCGTAGTCAGCAGAAACAGCGTTCCTTGTCGGACTATATTCGCTCCCAGTTCCTTGAGCGGTCTGAAGCGCAGCGCCTTGATAAGGGCTGTAGCCTGAAGCATGGCTTGGAACAAAATCAATGTTGATTTAGCGAGTGAGAAATCCGATGCGTGACGATGATTCCTTATTTCGGCGATGGCAGCTGTGAGGCATAAACCAGCGTAGAGAAACATCCCTGTGAACGAAACTATTAAGAGAGTGTCATCTGCACCAAATGGATACCACATAAATTTTTGATTCATTAAACACCGCAACACAACCCAGCAGGCCACGCACATGAACACCAGCAAAATAATTTGGTAGAGGTAATAAAATTTAAGCGCGTTTATAGAGTCTCGGTCAACCCACAGTAAACCAACCGCGAGCAGCAACACGATCGAGAAAAGGAGGCCAATCAAAAGGCCTGGGTCAGAGCTTGGGATCGCGTGCATGCGAAGTGCATCCTGGTTTTCAATACATGATTGACATATAGAAGAGTTTGACATGGCTCTATTCAGCGAAAAACGGCTTGAAAATCTACCACTTGACACAGAATCCCTGGATGGTGTGGCAGCTTCGCAGGTCCCATATCCGTGGTCATGTTCAAATTTTTCGAGTCGTTCACTAAGATTATCCGAAGTCGTATTAAAGTCAGACAGCTCGTCATAGATATAAATATCTTGCGGGTCGGGATCAAGATCCCGCATCCCGCTCCACATGGTGTACAAAATGCCACCCGCGATAAGTGAATACTCCATTGTAAATGGATATAAATAAGGTTCGGACGCGTCCCAGATCTTTTTCATAGAGTAGTGATTTGCAAAGCAAGCGTTTTCTTCGCGAGTGCTTAGATCTTCAAGTGATCTCCGCGCACTGAAAATGCTTTTCGAATGGCTAAAAAGCGCGCGAAACCATAGGCATACGTTGGTACCAAGTATGTGGAAAAGTACAAGTCGAATGCTTGGTGATTTATGAAGGGTTGCTGTGGCAAACTTTCTTAAAAATAGAATTTGTGCAAAAATAAACACAGCCTTGAAAATGGAGAAGAAAAGGCTGGATAAGTTGGATGAACATTCGATATAAAATGTTATGTGGAGTAGATCCATGACACAACTTCCCGCGCCGAAAACGTAAGCCCCCGCCATCAGAGGTCTGTGTGAGTGGGGCGAGGGCGTGATAAAGTCCACAGTCTTCCGATCGCTTTGTTTACAAAAGATGTAACAGATCCACAACAGAGCTGGACAGATACAGGTGATCAGGAACCCATCTATGTGGTCCGTTGTCACGCCGGAGTCGGCCTTAGAATCGTCTTGTAGCCATTTGGAAAGATTAAATACCACCCCTGCTGTTGTTAGACAAATCAAGTACAATAAGCTAGCAATTTTCCCGTCTCCCTTCACGCCATCGTCTGGTAAAATCGGTTCCAGAACGTACATAAGAGACGTGACAACACTACGCAGAAACTTTCGGTTTTCTTCATTTTTTGGTTCCTCTTTAAGCTGGACATTTCCAACAACTTTTTTCTCGTATAGTGGATAAGTTTCCTTCTCGCACCGCATGATGTTTAGTGTTTTTAAAGGTTGTTGAGCTTCAAGGTAAGAGGCCACACGGCCGCTTGTTTCTTCCTTCATGACGTCATGATGTCCAACCAAAACAGCCGGTGGATTGTGTGGGTCTTTTGATCAACATGGCTTTCTTATTGGACAATTCATGAGCTCATTGTTGAGGAATCATCATTACTTCATGGCCCACTGGCTCATTAAAATTGGATTGCTTTCTATTGTCATTAAACAGCCAACCAGAGCGGGAGGTTGAGGTCATGGATCAATGGAGCGATAAACTCATGAACAAAGAGTCAAAAGCACTTCTTAGAAGGAGACTCGCCATTTTTCTTTTTCTCTCGGAGAAAATCAAAGGTTTTTTTTTTTTCATATTTTTATGTTAAGTAAATAAGAGAAAATTGCTCCCTAAAATTCTGCATTTACTTTTCTTATTTACCGGTCTAGGCAATTCTAAATCACATCATATCTCGTAATATTTTGAAGCCTAATTTTCCTTTTATAGCGATAGCGAAACACTTCCTGTCCAAAAATTGATAGACCATTTTTAAAAAAACCTAAACTTTATGCTCCTTGACCAAAAATAATCAAATAGGCTACACGCTAGAACTGATTTTAAAATATCAACAAAGACGGAAGTCCTTCTCTTGAAAATATATGGAAACGAAATATGGTACAGACATTTTAGATACTCGACTGATCTATAAAACCTATTGAGTCTCGTTGAATTTCCAAGCGACAAATTTCGAGCGATTTTCAGTTCTTTTTTTTCTCCTTTTTTTACCTCAGCCTGCTACAATATGATAGCTTTTTGCTTTTAGTTCATCAAAGCGGAAAGAAAAATTACGTTATGGAATGTTAAGCAGATGAAAACAAAGAAACAAATAAACCCATGAAGCGTGTAGGCTGACGAGGATATTCAGTGAGTTTTATTTAAACAAGTGAACTAACCGGAAAATCTTCAACAACGAATCGCCACTTTCACACACGGGGAATCTTAATTTTTCGGTCTGTGTGGGTCAAGAACCGTTTGAATTTCACTACACTTCGTTGCATTTTCCTCCCAAACAAAACAATGTAGCTTGCTCAGGCTAACTGATGGTCTCTCTCGTTCTTCATTCACTGCCATTCAGTTGAAAAATAATCTTCCCCAATTTTAAGTTCGTAGCCATGCTAGGCTTAAATGTTCCTCCTCTATGTTATCAGAATCTGTCTTTGTTGTTCGATAGCGGATTTTTTTTTTCTGTTTTCAAATAATTTCAGTAATACTAGTCGAGAACAAGTGAGCAAGTTGTCCAACCATTTTACAGGTGAAAACTAGAGACGAAGAATCAGCCACCTGGTAAATTGTGGTCCGCCCACTCTACTTAGGTATCGATCGAAGGTCAGTGGAGAAATAAATGTTTTTCATCGAACAACCACATTTTATGGTTATTTAAATCATTTACTATACCGTTTCCCATAAATATATCTAGTTATTTACTTTGTTGCAACATATAAAAATGTATGAAAAACAGATAATTCTTATATTACTGTTGTAGAAAAAGAGAAATTTTCCGTAAAGTTAAGAAGTGTCGTAATGATGATTTCACTATCAGTAAAAGGATTGGGACCGAGTTTTGTAGTAACCTCGGACTTAGGTTAATCACCGTGGCTTCTCCTTTAATTTCCATTTTATTTTTTTTCCTCGTCACTTTTCAGCAGGACTATAAATTCAAAAGACATAATTTATGGCAAAGCAGGGCGCTGTTCCGAATAAATCAATATTTCGAGAAAATTCTATTGTGAAACTTCTCATTTGCAATTTTTTTGTTTACAAAAACGGTATTATCCATAAGTGCGACTTTACTGAAGCGTGAGTTTGTGTCTAGAAGATGTGAAGTCGTAATTGGAACGTAAATCCAAGAACATTTGTCTCGTCAAAGCTTTTAATTGGAGAGGGATGACCTTGGTGATTCATTTACGTCATTTAAAACGCCGATTGACTATCAATTCGACTCTTGCGTGTATGTTTTGGTGATAATTGAGAAAATAAAAGTTGCAATTTACCTCTCGACAAAAATGCAAATTTCACACGCAGGCCAATATCATAATGGCTATATTCTCTACCATAAGAACAAAACTCTTGGCTCGTTTCAGCTGAAATACGTCCATTTGGTTAATGAGTTTAAGGAAAGGTTTCGAAAAAAGCACTCAAAACTGTCTTTCTAAACAATACATCTTCCCTGCTCACCAACGTTCATCAAAAATTTGGATTTTTTTTCTACAAAGAGGCCAAAATCGTATTCAGTAATTATGCTGTGATCGTGAAACAACCTGTCAGCTTAAAGTTACGACCGCTGTACATAAATTAACGTGCTTCAAGCCAGGGAGACATAACAATTGAACACTAAAGGACACCAAAGTTAGGTTACTGACCGCTTTGAAAAACACGAGCGAATCAACTACACGAAATACGTGCTCTAAAAATAATGTTATCGGCCAGCTCTTCCCAATGAACGTTCAGAAAGGGTATTGCCACGTTTCTACGACGAAACTTGGAAGAAATGTTCCAACGAAGACCGTAAATAATAATTTTTCCCCTTCGATGAGTGGTGTGTTTGCAAAGTGCTCGCTAGGCTCGAGTGCTCCTCGCGCGGCTTACACAAAGTCATCTGTACAACCGAAAATTATGTCCCCGATGACTAATCATTCGTCTCGCGATCAAAGGAGAAAATACGTGAGTTCATTGTCTATTATTCCGAAAGAAAAGATTCCTAAGATTGTGGTATTACCAAGTATCGATAAAGATATTGCTGTAACGTCGGCGAAGCCAGTATCAGCTAGAGTCCCTGGTGTCACAACTGCTCCGGGAAAAAAGAGGAGTCAGGCACCGAAGAGTGAAAAAGGAAGCTTTTCGCAAGCCAACTACATTTCATGTCTTCACACTTCATTGAGCACTGAATGGAGGAAAGCGACTAGCTTGGACAGGGAGAATTCGGAGGACAAGGAAAGGCAACCGCGGAGAACTTCTTCGCTGGAAATTAAATTCAGCTATTCTAGCAAGAATACTTCCCGATCCGCGCCGACAACCAGAAGTTCGTCAGATGAAATACGTGACGAGGAAAAAAACACTTCACTGATAGGAAATCAACCCCGTGGAGAAAATAAAAGCGTTGGCTTGTTTAATCGTAACATGGTAAAAGAAGTAACCGCAATGAGCAAGGACAATGTACGAGTTCAATATACACCGCTGAGGAAAAGTTTTACGATTAAAAATGTAGTTACAGACGGGAACAGACGTGGAACATCTGCAAACGCGGTTCTATCCACTCGCTGTCAAGACTTTGAACAGCAACGTACTCGAACAAGGATGCTACCAAAGAGCCGTTTTCGAGTGAAAATTCAGAAATGTCGCCACAAAAGCGTCAATATTTCAGATTCTTTCAATATTGTTCGAGATAAAAGAGCAAAACCTCTAGAAAAGGCAAGTCGAAGCGTGATCATTCAAGATAAAAGTCCACAAAGATCATTTTCTATCCAAAAGTCTAAGGCTTTCTAGCGTGAAGTAAACATAGCAACCTTCGTGAGAAGAAAAGTTTATGGTGACGCAAATAAAATTTTACCGACAGATTAAAACCGCTTTGAATTACTTTCCGAGATATTTTATTTCGCCAAGAAACCCTTAGCAATTGAAAATCGCATATTCGTCCAAAAATTATTGATTTGAGGATATACCATGTCAGAGCAAAATTTGCATGATGACTTGACACTCAACTGAATGGTATGTTTGCTGAAATACAGGTTGTTCACGAACTAATATGACCGACTGCGATCGATAGAAATGTTTTTATCAATTTGTCATCTAGATATTAGATTCAAAGTTACCTGAAGAAATATTATTCTCTTGAAATACTTCGGCTTGTCAAAGCTATTAATAATCGATATCTCTTTTAGAGCTTACAGCTTTTATCTTTATTCTGGTAAGACTCTATGGTTTTCAGCCATTTGAAGCATTAGTAATTTTTCCTTTTAACAGCACTTTATATTTTTTTTCATTATTATCACACCAAAACGAATGCATTAGTGATTAAACTTTTTTTTTTTCTTTTTTATTAGGACCGCTTAATATGCAGCAAACATCAATTTAAAATTAAACTAAACTGCTCACTTTTAGTCCAAAATCGTTATCAGGAAACGATTCTATTCAAACAGACGGTTATGTTTAATTTGTAGTGTGAGTTGACGGAGTATTTCCAATGGCTTAAAGACCTAGAATGTTGTTTCGTCCGCGTAAATAAACTAGTTTGCATGTTGCATCAGATGTTCTCCATAACATCTAACAAAAATATTTAAAAACAAAATTGCTATGATTAGTTGGGACTTGCTTGTTCGAATTGAAAATCTGTAGCTCAAGGTTAGTAAAATTTCAATGGTGCAACATCGTACTGATGTTGGCCCAGTGGAAGCTAAGAAGCGCAAAATGAACTGTTCCCCAATGACGCTTTCCCATTACTCAGTGCCGGAGCGTGTAGGCGAGTAAACAAGTTTTTCTTCGCTACGGAACAAAAAAAGAAAGCTGTGTCAATTTTGTTTCTCTCTGAATAACAATTGACACCTTTATGTCGCACTATAAACCTTCAGTAAATATGCGAACTATATATTAATTGAGGACGAAATATACTGCAACTAATTTGGATTATAACGAGCAATCGCTTTCGACAAATTTATTTGTAATTTTTATTTTCCCTGATTATAATCTTCAAAAGATCAATTTCCTGTGTTGCAAGAAAAGGTTAATAAATTTAAAATGTTAGATCTGGAAGTTAACTAAATATTGTACGCTTCCAAAGTCCTTGAGGAAGAGAACTTAAATAAAAACAAATTTTACATCTTATCATATCGCCCTTTGCTCCGATAGTTGTCTTAATGATTAACGCCGATAATTTGTGGAATAGAGAGCCTATGCGATAGATAATCCATTGGCATTTTCCTCCCAAGATCTGATCAACAATTCTCCTTTCTGCCTTGCTTACAATTTTCATGATGTTAGTTCGGAGAATTTGGCGTTAAATCAATTAATAATCCCATAATTTATATTTTCTTTATTATCACTTGTCTAATTGTTGTTGTATTGATATTGTGCGGAGATATTCTGACTTGGTCACTCATGGAAGTTAGTTGTTAGCTGCTCACTGAACAACAAGGAGGAACAAAATGAAACATGCGCACATCGACTGCAGTGGAAGATAATCAAAGCAAATGAAAATTAATAACATTGATAATCATAGCGATAATATAACAACAACATAACTATTCAAATTATAATCCCAAGTATCATTACGGCAATATTATTGCTTTGATATTTTCCACATCTAGACTTTTCCTGATACTGTTGGTTGATGTGAGTACTTTATCGCCAACAGCTGTCCGCCAATGGCAACAGCTTCGCTGCATGCATGCTTATCACTAGACCACTTTGCAGACATTTCCGGAGTCGTCACGCCAGGCGAACAACTCCCCCAGTTTGTGGGGAGGAGCGTTGCGTGACGAGACTACAAACGGCTGCGAGGGAGAATCACTGACTGTCTTCGATTGAAAACGACTCCATCTTTGATTTTTACGCCCGAGAGTAACCTGGTAATGAGTCGCTTTGGGATAATTTTTGCAACCCGTAACCACTCGCAAAACGACTGCATACTTCTTTTTCGAAATAGAAACATGCCTATTTGAGTTTAGTATGTCTTGTCCAAAACTGATGGGGGTTGGGGCAAAGGTGAGAAAAGAATTCCAAGTATATTAAGAAAATGGATTATCAAGGATTATCGCATAAAAAAATTAATAAAAGTAAAATAGAAAAAATCCTCTATCTCCCGAAATCCCCATTCCTCCTTTACAATCTTGGTACTTTTCTATGGTAACGGAAATCTTACATAGCATAAATCCAACTTCTCTGCTCGCTTGTGCTATAAACTGAGCTTGGCAAATGCCGTCAACTTTCTTGCGTTTTACACCACATGATCATTAGTACAACGAAGCCGGAAAATCGTGGGCGCACTCTAACATTTCACACCTGACGTTCACTAAAATAAGACGACGAATAAAAGGTAACTGGGAGTTGGCCATCTACGTGACAATTTGTAGTTAATGTTTAATTAACTGAAGACAAGCTCTTTGAAGATTAAGCAAATAATTCCAGCTGTGCTTCAACTTCAGAATACCCGTCCACATCACATACATGTGTCGGGAGGCTTTGAAGAATGAGGCATAACACAATAGATGCTATTCTCATTTAATGACATGTAAATGAGTGGCCGGGTATTCTGAAGTTTAGCCGTGCTTTTTCGCAGGACTACGCAGTGCGTGGGTAATAAACCTATACCTTCAGCTTCACGATGCGCACAGCTGCGAGATTTTCTTTACTCGTTTTAATAGTAACCATAGTATGTCTACTGGGAGTTGCAGTGTTTCAAATCGACCCAATTCTGCCGTTTTCTGCAAAATATCGTTACGAGAGTATGGAAGTTGATAGACCGTTTTATGCAAATCGAACTGGAAAACACTGCTACGAGAACTACGAGAAGAAATATGATTGGGGTGAGATGTGCCCGAGGTTATACACTGAACTTGGTGGAAAATGTGACATGATAGATGGTCAACTTCAATGCCCTGATATACGTAATTATTCCAAAGTTTTGTATCGACAAGGACAACTTGTCATGACAAGAATGATGCGCATTTTCGACCTTCTCGCTCAAAAGTATGATATATTTTACTGGATTACACGAGGTACTCTACTTGGTGCAGCAAGACATCAAGGATTTATACCTTGGGATGTAGATAGTGATATTGAAATGCCGTTAGATGACTATGTCAAATTCTTTCAAGTTGCAGCGAAGGATTTACCACCTGACATTTTCTTTCAGAATTCACTTACCGATCCCGCGTTTCCGAACAACTCTCGTGGTTTTCACAAACATGAACTAGTTGGTTTATACGAAGCAACATGGAACCCAAGACTGAGAGATAGAAATAGCTGTTATAAATATTGTATTGCACACGGTTGCAATTGGCACGATGGCCTCATGATTGACATCTTCGTCCATCCCCATGTGTCAAGATATGTCTACCCTTTGAAGAGGTTACCATTTGAAGGTTTTACACTTTCAGTACAGAACAACTGGAAAGATGAATTAGTTTCTCAATTTGGCAAAAACTGGTTTGAATTTCCAAGAGATGGAACTCCACATGAACATCCAGATGTATTTAATGGTTGCGAGAAGCTAAAAAACTGAGTAAGACACTTTTTGTTTGGCCGACCATGCAGATTGAGTCATCCATATTGACATATGGAGTTTTTTTTATTAAATGCAGTGTGGGAGGGTGTAAATTGTATAAATCAGTATTATGTATTCATAATATTTACTAATTCAATTTTTCATACCCCTGACAATTCATGGATAGATATTCCAAGTTACGTATGATGTTTGAATACAAAGGATAGTAATGTACTGAATATAGTGAAAGAGACCATTGTATTAGTATCGTTGTTATATTTTATTTTTATTATGCTATGTAAAAGCATTGAGATTCTTAAATGCGCTCATAAAAACCTTACTATTATTATTATTATTATTATTATTATTATTATTATTATTATTATTATTATTATAGACTGGTTTTGAAAGAGGTATGAGGGCTTTCCCACCTGCTTACACGAACAAATCAAAATTAGCTAGGTAACATTTCAAAAATCAGGCCAGCCCTGTTGAACACACCTTTATGAACAGGTCTGGGGATATTTCTGTAGTTTTCAGGGCTGTCAATAAGTGTCGTAACCATTAAAACCTGTCACAGCTGAGCACATGTGAAGTTGCAGGTTGAGATGCCAATTGCAGTGATGTTTCACCTGGGTTAGTATAATGCTAGTATAGGGGATAACTTGGTTATAATGGCTGATTCAAAACCAAGTAACAGCACTGAGTAGTGACTTGTAATTTGCAGCAATCAGCTTTATTGTCAAATTACAGAAAGAACCACATCAGCTTGATGTGCACTCCAATTATATAGATCTGCTCAAAACAGTCCAGAACATTCCAAGTGATGATGCAAAATCCTGTTCTTAAGTCTGTATGCATGACCAAGTCCACAAGTTAAGCATACTTACTAGTAATGAGGTAAACAGTGAAACATTCCACAGTCGAACCTTGATTATCTGGACCTCCATTATCTGGACTTTTTGATTATCAGGGACCAGTTGTTCGAAGGCCAATTAGTGCTAGGCCAAGGTTAAATTTTAGTCCAGGTTTCTATATTTCTCTGTTCAAAGGCCATTTTGGGATGATTTTCACAATTCTTTTTAAAGAATTCAATCATCAAATTGTGGACAAATGGAATAAGACTGAATTTCTGAATTTGATTTCAGATCTGAAATCAAATTTCACACAAACCCTGGGCTATCTTAACCCACCTTTGAAAACCTCGACCCTGGACTTTTTCTCTGGTCCCTTTTTTTTGGATCTTCAAAACTCTAAGAGGTAAAAAATTCAGAGATTATGTTAAGTCTGGGAAAGTGCATTTAAAACAGCACATTACCTCCAATCTCAAAAGATCAAGTGCTCGGAGAGTCATTCAAGCAGACTTTTAGAATTAAAAATGTGTTATCTTTATTTCTTTTATTTACATTATTGCCTCATTAATATTCAAATTTTCAAATTATTCGGACTCTCAATTATCTGGACTATTTAATTACCCAAGTCCCAACTAGTCCGGATAATCAAGGTTCGGCTGTAGAATATTCTGGGCCATGTTGTTCCAAAGGTGTTTTGCAATCAATTCAGGATTAAAAGTGTAACTTGTTCTAACTATTTCTTGAAATAAATTGCTACTAGGGCTCATATTTTGAAGGGTTTTCCCTTGGGAAAAGACGAAACTATCTGCTAAGCTGCAAAACTGAATGAAATATTGTCCTTAGCACAGGAGGCCACAGTGTTGATGTTTGTTTTCTGCACCATACTGGGAGGAGGTGACTTGGAACCAGTGCCTTAGAAATCTGAGGAAGACGCAGTGGCCTAGTACAGCGTTAGAGTCCTGGGCCGGGTTGTTCAAAGGTGGGTTGAGATAACCCAGGGCTAGTGTGCTTTGACATTAGATCTGAAAGCTTTAAAAGAAAATTCAGTTTAATTCCATTTGTCTACAATTTGATAATTGAATGCTCTAAAAGAATTTGGAAAATTATCTCAAAACGGCTTTTGAACAGAGAAATATAGAAACCTAGATTAAANTTAGAGGCGCGGTGGCCTCATGGTTAGTGCGCTCGACTCCGGATCGAGTGGTCCGGGTTCGAGCCCCGGCCGGGACATTGTGTTGTGTTCTTAGGCAAGACACTTTACTCTCACAGTGCCTCTCTTCACCCAGGTGTATAAATGGGTACCGGCAATTTAATGCTGGGGGTAACCCTGCGATGGACTGGCATCCCATCCAGGGGGGAGTAGAAATACTCCTAGTCGCTTCATGCTACAGAAACCGGAGTTAAGCACCGGCCTAATGGGCCACTAGGCTCGTAAACAGACTTTACCTTTACCTTTTACATGATTGGAGAACAACTCTTTAAAACTCTCTTGGATTCTTTTAAAATACATAACACTGTGATATTTTTGAAAAATGTCAATGGGGGCAAAGAAATTTACCAAAATTCAATCAAGTGGGGAAGTATGAAAAACATTCTTTTACTAATTTCTTGGCGTATTGAGTTGTTAACATAAATTATTGGAATATATATTAATTCCTACTTTGCAATCAACCTTTCTTCATTCATGATAACATAAACTAAAGGTTAAACGCTCGTCTGTTTGAGTGGTTATTCAGGATTTTTTTCCCAGGATTATTACATGACTGTTTTCGTCAGTTTCAGTACACGCAGTTTTCTTCTTTCACTCTCATTGAAAAACCCAATTCGTCTTTAAAATTTGTCAAAACTTGCGGTCAGAATATACATGAGTAGTAGTTGAGTTTTTATTTTTGAAACAGACGTTTCGGGTAATGCTTAAGCCTTCATCAGTGATATGAAAAACGAAGATCGTTATCATACGCTATTTAAAGTTCAAAACGTGACACGAAGCTTGCGCGTGTAACTATGTATTTGATGGTCGCGCGAGGTCTTTATAAGTAGCCTACAAACCACAACAAACAATCAACAGCCTTTTTCCACGCCCCAAGGGGCTAGACGAACCTGACCACCAGAAGTCCGGCATGGTGTACAAAATCAATTGCACACTGTAATTTTAAGTACTGTGGCCAAACAGAAAGATCATTAAAGACCAGAATTGCGGAGCACAAAAAGGCAGTTGCAGGTTTTGACTTAAACTCCAAAGTCGCAATCCATGTCCACCTTTTCGACCAGAACATGGATTTCACAAACGTCAGGGTCGTTGGTTTCGAAACTAATTACCACGAGAGACTTTCCCTTGAAGCCTGGCACTCTACTTTGGATCCGAATGCGGGGAACTATCACATCCCACTTCCAGAAGCCTATAAAGACCTCGCGCGAGCATCAAATACATAGTTACGCGCGCAAGCTTCGCGTCACGTTTTCAACTTTAAATAGCGTATGATAACGATCTTCGTTTTTCATATCACTGATGAAGGCTTAAGCATTAGCCGAAACGTCTGTTTCAAAAATAACAACAGTCAGAGGCAAACAATTTCTCTAAAACTCATGGCATCTCCTGACTACACTTTTTCCATATTTAAACATGAGTAACAGTTGTCGTGTTTGGTTATTGAGCTATTCTGGTAATATATTACTTGGAAACTTTGAAAATAGTTCTTTACTTATTTTCTCACTCGAAGTTATATATAGATCGTAACATAAAGTTTGATAAATGTTCTGCACTGATTTTTTTTTTACGACTGATCAAGTGTTCGACTGATCAAGTGTTCGACTGATCAAGTGCTCGACGTACTCATCAAGTGTTTGACCAGAGATGTTCATTATTTAGATCCATATGGACTTCTATTAGGAAAATTCCCGTTACTAGCCGTATCGATAGTGTCACTCTAAGCTATATAAATACCGTGACAAATTATTGAGTCGTTCCTGGTTAGCACAGATTGTCTGTTACTGATCAAGCGTTCTATCATTGACGTTCAGACGGTATCAAGAACCATCTGAATTTGTAATCAGAATGTTAACGCTGATTCACATTCAGATAGAGCCAGTCAATCTAGTAGCGTCTCTCAATACATAGACTGTATGGCTTGGGGCATAGGCTGGCACCAAAGATTCCTTCCAAATCCGGCGCCTTTGATTCGTGTGGAACACTGAATCGAAATTTGTGTAACAAGTGAGAGATGAACAGGAAAAGTTGAATTTTCCCGAGTGATTCGGCCAGACACACCCGTCGTCCAGCTGAGAAGGGCAGATAACTCAGAGTTCCAGGGCAAATAAGTTTGCCATCGTCATCGAGAAAACGCGAAGGGTCAAATACATGTGGTTTGTCCCATTCCTTCTCATCGTGATGCATAGCCCAGACATTGAACAGCACAATAGTGTCCTGAGGAATATCAAATCCACTGAGATTGGTATCAGCTGTTGTTGAGTGTGGAAACAGTAACGGAACCAGTGAACTGTAACGCAATACTTCATAAATGGTGGCTTCCAAATATGGCAAGTTCTGCTTATCTGACATTTCAGGCAGGCGCTCCCTCCCAATGACGTCATCCAATTCCTGGTGGATTTTCTCCTGAACTTTTGGATTCAGAGCTAAGTACGCAAGTGCCCAAAGTACGCACGTCGAGGTAGTCTCCAGTCCTGCGCTGAAGATATCGTTCATGGTTAAAACCACGTGATCTTCGGAGATTGGTAATACCTTTCCGGGATTTTCAGCTTGTGACTCGCGCATGGCTTTAATCAGGGCATCAGTGAGGTCACGCGTCACGCAATCTTGATACGTATTCTTATGCTCATCAAATTTCCTTTGTAAGATGGTGTCGCGGTCTTTGACAGCCTGCTTGATGAGCTTTAATCCCTTGTTAGGGAAGTGGCGTAACCAGGGGAAATAGTCAACCAGATTTCCAGCTCTGAATCCTTGAACAAACTGCTCGTTGTAGTGAAGAATGGTGTAGAACTCAGGATCGTCCAAATCATAGCGCGAACCAAACACGAATGCGCAAATGATGTTAATCACGGCCAAGATGATGTCATGTTGAGGATCGTGCGCGCGCCCCTCTACCGACTCAAACCGATTGATGAGTTCGTTAATCTCCTGACATACTTTCTGCTCAATGGGCTTGATACCTTGCCCAAACATTTTTAGCGCGGAATGCGCTATTTTTCTCTGTAATTTCCATGTGGGGGTAAAGTCGCTAAATGCAATGTCTTTGCCACCTCGGGAAATGAGCCCTGCTGTATAAAGTCGCGGTCTGCCTGCAAAGTCGTTAGCCTTCTTCACGAGCGCTTCACGAGCAACATCGATGGTGTTCACAACCACTATCCGATGAATGCCGACAGTAAGTCGGAATATCTTGCCGAACTTCATTGCAAGTTTTGTTAGGCCAAGATGCGGTTTTGTTCCCATTTGAAGCATGTTGCCAATGACTGGGAGAGGAACTGGACCCGGAGGTAACTTTGGGTTTTCCATTCGATGTGAAAGTACGCTGAACAAGAGTGCAGCAGCAATGACCAGTGCTGCGAGAACTATTAACTCCAATGCCATATTTCTGCTCGGTTTATCTGTAAAAAATAGACAAGAACCATTTAGTTAACTATACGAAGGTTCTCTTTGAACAAGAACTTTGCAGTGGGCAATTTACATAATTAACGCAGTCGATAAAACCAGATTACCTTGAAATATCCCACCGACGCTGCTCCACATTTTCTTTTAAAACTGACCCCCTTTATTCATTAAAGATATCGCCCACTATTTGATCATGGGAATGGTAAAATTGTAAAATCTTTGAACCAGAGGAAGAACGTGCAAGAACTTTGTCCCCCTGCTTTGTAAAGTGGTTTGGTCAAAGTCGACGGCTTAAGGAACCACTTTGTCAGAGGCAAATAACAAATGAATACTTTTAAAAAAGAGTGCACGTGGTTTAATTCCAATGTCACCAATTACGCACCATATTTCCGACGATACTTGTCACTTATTGAAGTGGGTGAATAACAAAGAAATGTAGGTGTTAAATCTTACACAACCCCATAGTGTTATCCCTCCTCAATACACCCACCTAAAAGATGTTCGCCTAGTCTCGGATCATTTATTTTTATATTCCTGTAACTGCAAATTCCTCCTTATCTTTTTGTATTCGCTGAAATAGCATCATTTTGACGATGATTTAGCAACTGTTCACTGGGTGTCAGTACAAAAGTATCGCCTTTAGACATATGAATTGTCTTAGCTCGTCTCTATTTGCCAAGCGTCTGTTTTTTTGTGTGTGTGTGTCCTTGGGCTCCTTTTTTTTTCCAGCTACTGTTGAACGCCGTATGGAAAACTTCAGAGCCTGTATGTTTCAGTGAAACGGCAAATCTTTTCTTTGTATAAAAACACTTGGGTCATAAAGGCACTATTTATTTCTAAAATGCCACTGATTCAGGACAAGAAGTAGCGTCCCCAGATTATTTCATTGCATAAGCATAGACAAGATGTGTCTGTGAATCACATCAACTGTTTTTGTTCGGGTGACATTGAATCAATCGCGTATAATCAGTGTCTTGAGCGGAACACAAGCCTTGTTCAAACAGCCAAGGAAGCGTAATTTTGAATTGGTATTAGTTCAGCTATCTATTCACATTTCACATCACTGATCAGAACAAAGACTAAGACACATTCTGATAGCGAGAAACCTTCGCTCATTCGAGACAATTTAAAAAAATGCAGACAGATTGTTTCCGAGGCGAAAGCAAAAAGCATTAACGCACCAAAGATGTGTTGAGAAAAAAAAAGAGAGACTTACTTATTCTTGATTCTGCAGTCTTCTACGCCGAAAATGTCGAAAGCCAGTAGCTAAGGTCTAAGAGATTTACGCTGCACGACTGTGCGAGAAAACGCAGACCGACTCACAGCACTCCTGCAGGCCGAATGAGTCGGGCGGGATGAGTGCAATTTAGACAGTTTGGCAGGAGAAGAGCTTCAAGTTTCTTAAGGAGAATTTCAGCAGATAATAGTCAGAAGTTTGCGGTTTAGATTTAGCTAAGGAACAACTTTTTACCGCAAAACTAAGCAAAATTTCCACTGCTTAGATAAAACTTATTTGCATGGATTAGGCGCACAATTACAAGTACGCACTCAATAATAAACAGACTCAAACAGCACAATAGCTTGAAAGTACATTATAAAATGCTTTCTCCGACTATACTACCCGAACACACTACTTTGCAAAGCTAATTAGACAACGGAACAAAGTACGCAGCCAAAGTATGTACAAAAACCGTCAAGAAAGTATCATAATTAATCCTAGGCATACTGTTCAATGAAACTCGCCGGGTGATAAGGCCATTTCCTGGATCACTTCCTGAAAGACACTATTTCGCTCAGCGTGCGGCTTGTTGTTCAATGACAATATAACATTTGCGTTGATGTAATTTTTTCCGACCAATGAGGACCTGATATGCGATTGATGCATGACCGATAGTCTTAGATATAACAGATACACGTGAACAGACACAACACGCTGTTTTGAAGTTGGATTTTCTCAAGATTAGGACCCCATGACAATCATGTATTTTCTCAAAAACAAAACAAATCTATTAGATTCTAAATCCTCTTGAGAGAAACAATGCCCTGGGGCTCAGGCTTCAAGAACTAACGGGGCCCTTACCCTCCCCCCCCCCAGTGGTCGTGTCTATTCTGCTCCCCAACAACACAGAGATCTTTCTAAGAACCATAAATCTTTGTTTTTTGCTAAACACCGGAAAATCCGTCGTGCAATAATTTATAAACGCCCCCTCAAAGCCATGGTGTGTTACCTCCACGATACTTGGTGTGTCTTTTGATGTAAACAATCGCCCCAAATCTAAATCGGATGTAATTGCTCTGTGTTACGTTTTTAACTCAGCGGTTCTCGTGTTTCTCTCATTATTAGAAAGGATAAAAGTTGACTTGAAGCCAAAAACTGTTGGGGCTGTTGATAAACGACCTTCGCGAAACCAGAGCGGAAAATTCTTACAGTTGGCACTAAACCGTAAATTAAATCACTAACTGAAAGTTTCCACAACAAATAGATAGTTTAATACCATTAAAACATATAATGAAACGATATGAAACATTTACTTAAACAGTTTGACATTTTACACTCATCTGCCAACATTACACCAATGGTTTTTTTTTTTCAGAGAAATCAATTGTAGTTCTTGCCGAGATAAAAAGAGAACTATCTATATAGTCCACTCGCATTCTCGCTTATTAATTAGTCCAAGAAACTGAAGAATATCAGGATTTTTCACATATTATAGAGCATTGACGGCTGACGAAGGACTAACGCTCGAAACGTCAGCTTTTAAAATTCTTTACAGTGGCCAATTTACATAGTTAACGCAGTCGATAAAACCAGATTACCTTGAAATATCCCACCGACGCTGCTCCACAGTTTCTTTTAAGACTTACCCCCTTTATTCATTAAAAATATCGCCCATTACTCGAATTTTCAGTACTTATTAAGCTTAAAGAACTTATACTGGGTGACTTTTCGATAATTATGCACTTTACCCACAGGTATTCAACAGTCATTATAATAATGTAGTTATTATCCTGACCACAGAGTGTCGAAATAATGGGGTTAGTGGTTTACTATTGTCGGACCTTGTTCCGTTAAGAAATGAATTCGTTTAAGGTTTAATTCTTTGAATTACTGGCTCAATGGATGATATTCGCTGCTAGACCCATTTCATCAGCAATAACTTGTTGCACGGCAAAGAAGCATTCACCTTCAGGCGATGAAAACATTTCGTATCATACACATTCAAGCGTTTTCGTAATCCAGGTAGAACTCATTCCACTTTGGCACCTGCTTTACTATCCAGGCTCCCTCATTTACGCCAGTTTTTTTTCAGAAATGATAGGAATGCACCATGATGGCAGCATACAAGAACGTGTTGAGCCGCTCAAGATTTATTTCACACTCGAGCCTAAGCTGTAAAGTTATTAAGAGTGGAAAGGTGGCTGCCCAAGAGAGTGCAATTGTAATGAATACGAGAGCACTTCAATCGAACGCAGGAAGAGTAAATAACCCAAATCACTCAATAAATCGAATACTTATGGACAAATAGAGTTAAAAACACAATTTAGAAGCTAAGAAAGCCCATATAGATGATATCAGGCTTGTAAATCTTTTGAACTGCCTGACTCGTATATTTCCCTCTTGCGCCAAATCACTAGGCTAAGCGTTTTTATCAACCGTACTTTGCCCACCTTGGTTCAATTAACAGTAATTACACTTTCCCTTGTTGATCATATGATACAAATTGAACTTACCGCCAAATTTATGTTTTGAAGATAACCTTAGGAAAAAAGAAACGTTTTTTTACTTAAAACTAGACAATACTTACAGTTTTAGAGCTTAATCGTGGGGGTGATTAAGTGACCAAAACGCCAGTCATGGAGTTAGCAAACAAAAATGCTTTTGAGTTCAGCTCACCCTGAAGTTATCAGACTACAATGCCCGTGTGCTCGTGTGCGGTTGAATAAATCTCGATTATGATATTTAGTCTTCAATGAATCTTAAGAGGATGACCCTTTAAAAAGGCTTTGAATAATTTGTCAAATTACTGGAATGTATTTTTAGTGTGTTTGGTGCATGTGAAAGCAGTTACAACAGTCTCACAGCAGTGGACAGGGTAACTGACGAAGTAGCTATCAATATATCAGTTTACATGAAAGGAAAATAATTAAACGCAGGGACGTTTGCCAAGAGATGACTCTCTTCGCATGTGCAAGTTTGGACAATAGCATCGGCCTACTGATAAAGTTGAACCACTCGATGAAAGCCAACCCAATCATTAGCATTCTATGAATATTTTTTGACTTTTTGGCTTGTTTTACATTTCAAAAGCGTACGATTAGGAGAAGTAAAGATCTTTAACTCTGATCTTTAGCTCTGTTTACGTTACAAGCAAATTGAGCAAAATCAAATAAACGAAAGACACGTGTTACCAACCTTAGGGCAGTGTTTAATACAGCTGAGTGAAGACCCTTGAGGTTCCTTTGTGTTTAGGAATTTTAGCAAGCTCTAAACCTCTTTACTCCTCTTTCCTGAAAAACAGATACATTGACGTTTTACCTAACATGTCTGTCTAAACACAGGCGAATGTATCTATTTTGGGACTGCTCATGACTGCTTTAATGGCCAGAATTCAGAACTCTTATATTGTTAAAAATTAATGCAAACATGGATATCCGTATTCCAGCCATTCAAGTATTTGTTAATTGTTTCATGTCTCGTAATCCTCCACAAAGGAAATTGGCGGGATCGTGGGTGGGAAACATAGGGAAACAATTATCACGTCTCTAAAAATTCCACATCCTGTGTGGGTTACCTTGAACTGTGTGTAATTGAATTAAGACGGCGCACAACGGAAAACGAGAAAATTGCAATGCAAAAGCAGGTGAAAAATTGTTTAGCTATTCGTTCGAGAGATTAACACTCTATATAGAGCTTGCAATATCCTACAGAGGTATTAAAGCTATTTATGAATATTCTCACTAGTGTTCAAACTGATTTGTTCAAGTCAGTTATGGGTCGATGAATATATTTATATGCGACTTTGGAGATCAGTATTTCCCTCCCCTCATCACTTCATTTCTAAACTTTTTAATGGACTTTGATTTCTGTCACACTTTAGTAAATGTGTTTTGTGACAAAGAAATCTTTTACTATGGAGGAAAGGCTCGAAGTAAGACTACTGTGTTGAGGTAGAAGAACCTAAAAGGGGTAGCTAAATCAAACGAGGCAATAGCAAAGATTGAAACGGGCTGCACAGGTAAAAAACTCTGGAATACAACTGTAGATTGATAGATCCTCCAACCTTCACGTGGCTTTTTTAGCAAGAGTTTATTGAACCTTTACAAGCAGGGAAAAGATCTGAAAAGCTATCCATGCACGTATGACTTTGGGTTCCCCAAGGAGGTCCCTTGGCTATGCGTGATTTTTCTTAACAAAGAACAAAATTCACTTAGGCAGCCAGTTGAAACTTAAGTCGCGAGGGATTATAAAGATTAACTAGAAATATCTCTTTTGTTTTCATTGTTTCAAACCTTGATAATTCTTTTGTTAAGACATTTTACATTATGACAAAACTTTGCAATAACGTCTAAAATAGTTACAACATAAATCACGATCGCTGCCCCAAATCACGCAAAAACTGAACACTTTCATGGCTATGGCCGGTTGCATAATCTTGTTAATCCCCATGTAACACGACAGCTGATACCGAAAAATATTTTTGCAAAAAAGTGGCAAGAGTCTGCTTAAATATGGCCTCCACGTCATTTTACTGTCGGTTTTACTTTGCTTGAAAAGTGGTAACCACTGAGTCAATTCCAGGGCCTCACTCAATCTGTTAGAGGTCACGTGGTCCTTCCGACTTCGAATAGTGTCTCTTAAGAGTCCGTATCCAGTGTAAAGGAACTAAGAAACTTCAACAAATCTCCAACGTTTCTTTCGCAAAATTTTATTGATCCTACACTTATGCTCTCTATACTTAACAAGGTCATGCAACTTGTTTGAATCAGTTTGAGAAATCTTGCGTGAGCAGCCTGTTGGCTTGTCGTGATTCTAACCGAAGAAGGCGGATGTATGAATGCTAAGCTGAGGTCAAATGTCACGGATGTAACGCTTTTTAAAAAAGACCGAAATAATTTTTATAAATCTTTCATCCATGTTAATAGAGTTCCGTCGCCGTCACCCTCTTTTCCTGTGTGATACACTAATATTTTGATTTTCTCTGTTTCTGTGGCTGCTGCCTAGTTAAAGGAGACGAAACCACAGGTGTTATTTCGATTTGAAAGCAATTGCTTTTCTGCAACGCAGAGGGCAAAGTCAATTTTAAAGATCACAAGACAGTCACATTCTCTAAGAACTTGTTAAATCACGAAGTACTGAGTAGTTTGGTAATATCGCTCTAACGAAGAGCTAACGCTCGAAACGTCAAACTCTTTACGAAACGTCGAAACTCTTTACGGTAGCCAATTTACAATTTCAACTCAGTTGATATTACCAAATTACCTTGCTACCCCCACCGATGTAGCACCACAGTTTCTAGAGAAGCTTTCCCCCTTTATTCGCGAAATAGTAGCGGTTTGATTCAGTTTGAAACAGCGAAGCCTCGTTCACAAATTTTAAAAGCGCCTCCTCCCCAGGATCAAATTGTTAATTATTCCCTCTAGCTGCTAAACACATTTCCTTGTTATTTAGTTATGAAAATTTGATGTTAGATCAAGATAACAACTTCCTAATGATCATGATAATTCTCATTGCCTTTTTGCTGAATAAGGTATGGATATGTAGGGAGAAATTAGATGTTCGAGTAATCACTTTTGGGATTTAAAGAGCTAACATGACCATTAAAATCTAACAAATACTAGCCGTTTATAAGAATCAGCGCGGTGAGTTTGATGAACTTGCGAACAAATGCTAATATTCATTCTAATAATGACGTCCTTACAGGCTGTCAAAACGTTAATCACAGGCCACCTTGCAAAACGGTGATCGATTGTTAGCAATACAATGAAATGACTCAGTACTGTCCTCGGCTAAAATCATGCTGAGTCATTGCTCAGCTAGTTACAATACGAGGTCAATTAATGATAGGGGACAGTGTGCTGAGGAAAGCTATTAACGGATTGAGTAGCTGTTAATGAGTTTGATTCAATAAGTGGTCCTGCCAACTCATCTTAGAATGCAATATGTAATCATTTTTTTGCTTCAGATTAATTGATCAAGACAAATAAATAAACCTTAATATAAAATACAGTTCAAAATCAAAAAAAGGAACTTCACGACTAAGTGCTTTTGACGACGTAGGCGAAATGTTTGGAACAGCTCTGAGCTGATGATAGCTTTAGTCATTAGTTAGATAGTCATCAGGAAAGCGGAAACAAAAGGGTAATCGTGTATTCATCATTTGGCAACAACTCAAAAGTAACCTTCATATTGGTATTGAAAGCCAGAAATCACATTCGAACTGAAACAATCACTGAATTAGCCATGAATTCAATGTCGTTTTTCTTTTTTAATAAAAGAGCGGAGAACTTGTCATATCATTGGTACAGAAAACGTTCTCCATAAACTATAATCATTTTCTATCGTTTAAAAATAGTTATCAATTTCCAGTTACGAAGCCTCAGTAAGTTAAGATTTTATTCATTGAGTTACGACAGTTACTGGAACGTCCAACATCGATCATGATTGCCACAGCAATCTCTTCGTTCTTAATTGGTAATTTCCTCTTCAAGTTCTTATCAACACCCTGATAACATTATTTACTGTATTACACGACTCGGGCAGTCAGATGGCCAATAACTAAAATCAACCAATCAAAATGCTCTATTGTCGGTCAATATTCTCTTAGTATTGGACCGGGCACTGTCCCGAATTGTCCCGAATGATACCGCACTTGTGTCCCTTTGAACTTCAGTCGTATAATAAATCTCTTATTAACCAAGCTTGCTCGGGACCGTACTGGAAGAATATCGGCCCTCGGTCTTTTTTGTACGGACCTCGCTGCGCTCGGTCCGTACTGTCAAGACCTCGGGCCGATATTCTCTGTACGGCCCTCGCGCTTGGTTAATAAGATAGGCATGAAACGGTTCTAATTATTGCGTCAGTCTCGCGCTCGCTGTTCAGAAATTAAACTTGAATTCAAAATAGATTCATAATTTAATTAAAAATATAGTGCTCTGATTTGAACTTTCCGTAGAAGCTTTTCCAACTAGTTGTTTAATTAGGCTCCAAGCAGTCCATGAAATCTCGACGGGTCATGTTCTTTTTATTGATAAATAACTTGATCGAGATGTTAAAGTACTTTGGAGAACGTCACGAAATTCGTTTTCGTGTTTGAAGAATGGGCCAGTATTTATTTTTATTACTGATGTAAAAATAGCAAAGTTTCACCAAAAAGAGCCATAGAAATTCAGAGAGTTTTTCTCGACTTTTGTTGCTGTTTAAAATTTACGCGACTCCAGGCCTTTGCGTGTGACAAACGTTACGATCTTGATCAGCCTCATCAATTGATGAGAAGCCCTCTCGCAATAAAAGCACGTGTACTGTACTCTGACCTATAAATGTGCTTAGTTCGTATTAGCCAATGGTCCAAGGTACTGAGTTACTTTGAGGGTAAAGCATAGCTGTAACTGTCTTACTGGTCATATCCAATTATGGCACCTTACCGAAGTTTAAACACCAAAAACTGCATAATTTTGTAGCAAAGTATCTTCAAGATTAGAGCCGCATAATCCTTTTAGGAATCCTTCGTTGCAGATGCTTACAATGAAATACGTTCTTGAGCGTAATTTGGGCATTTTTTACACTGGTTTACCATCGTATGAGCGTAATAAGGTGCAGTAAGATTAATTTCTTCTTTATGATGAACTATTTCCCCTGATCAACTTAGCTTTAGAATTTTTAAATAAGAGTGTAGTTTGATCACATACATGCCAACTGTCACGTAATCCACATAGCCTCGATATCTCGGTTAATATTGGTACATATCTTTATCAAGTTACGTCAGATTCCTTTCCAGGGAGAAAAATGCTATTTCTAAATTAAGAGCCCCTCATTAACTTGGAGATATTGATCCCGGAAGTTTCGTTTTAAGAGAGGAAATTTGCCGAAAATACCTTCATCCTAAAATTATTAGCAAGAGAAAGAGCGAGTTCCGTCTTAGAAATGTTTGGTCTGTTCGATTTCCGGTTTTCTAGGGCTTATTTGATATGAGGACACAAGTGTCAGTCATTGACTATTACTGAAACATCAACTGAGACCATAATAGGTCATTTTCGATATTTATTTGTAGACTTTACTCTGATTGCATCGCGTTAAGTGATTTTTTAAGTGTCCACAAATTGTTTTTCCGTAAGTATCTCGGATGAATAGTACATAACAAATTTTATTTTCATTGGTATTTCTCAGTCACTGGGTAAAAAAAAATGTTAAAAAGGGATTACGAAGACGATGCTTTATTAACATCTTTAAAAAAAATACTTCAAATATTCCGTTGGTTTGACTCATATGAAAGTATCAGCTTTTTGTTTATAGACGAAAACAAGTGGAACGCGTTCAAACTGAATTCGCAGCTGATGAATATTTGAGATTTCATCGAATTTTGCTAATCGTTCACAAAACAATGCCAAAAAATGTCTTTAAAACACAGGTAGACATGATTAAATATATAAATATGGAGAATAGGTAGGAAACCATTCTCGTGTTATTGTAGAATCGTAGAATTCGTCCGGCTGTATACAAAGCCTTTTATTCTTTGACTCACAGAAATAGGGAAAATTGAGCTACCAAACACGTTACCATACAATTGTTTAATTTTATGCCGTTATTACGAAGAACAAAACTATCGTTTTCGATGTGAAGAAAATGACAATATATTGATTTTAAAAGAGACAAATTGGGGAAGATTATCCTCGTTGGAACAATTATGTTTCTGTATGGAAAGGATTAAGAAGAATAGCAAACTTAAATTTTGGCTAAATTTTTCAAGTTGCCCAATCCACGATATATAGAGCTTGGGAACATTTGATTAAATCAAGTTACGGTGTAGCTTACTAATTTTTTTAATTCGTAATTACCTCAAATCACACTAGGAAAAGAACTTTCTGGGCTTCGTTTACTAAAACATACCTGAACGTTGACAGTACTTTCGCGCAGCTTCTCAGTCGTGTTGAATACAAATGACCTGTATTCCCAGGTTGTGTTTTGAGGTTCAACTGATGAAAACCCGATAAATGATTTGCTAAAAGAATATAAGGGAAGATTAACCGCCAGAATCAATAAACGCGAGTGTTTCTTGGAACAACCAGTTGTATGTATGGCGCTTGATTTTCAGTGGCAGATCATCACTGTACATCGACAGAAGGTGGGATATAACTACTCCAACGGTGAGTCTTCGTCGCTCTAAAGTACAAGGTAATATCCAATCCAATATAACTCCATAAAAATCAAACTGCCGCCGACTAGCAGAGTGCGCAAATGGCTCTTAAAACAGTCAGAATTCCTGCATAATCTTACACACAAAAAAACTCTCAGCAATGAGTATCAATATACTCAGTTCAGAGGAAATCGTAACCCAAAACAAATCTTCTCTGACCTGTGTACACTTAGTCCCTCTTTTATGGCAAAAAGGCTGGAGCTTCTTATATTGCACAGTGGCAAAAAGAGAACTCTAGCTAAAATTAAAACTGATTTGAGTGAGTTTTGAGCGCCCAACAGTTTTTGGCGTAGAACGAGTTCCGGAGTTTGCTATATTGATATAAAAAATGCAAATTTAAGCTTCCTTACGAGACGCCAATTTTTTTTGCTGCTCGATTCTGGCAAATCTAAGTGGACAGCTAGAAATTTCCTGTTCTTTCAGCGAGATTATTTTTAAAAATAATTACCAAACTTTTCAATTTCATGTACATGCAAATAACACGACTGCTTGCCATGCGCTAAGTTGCTCTTGATCTTTTCCCAGCCCTTCAACTCTGCAAGTTGTTTTTCCAGTATTTATTTATGAGATTGGCGATTATCCATCGATCGAGAGGAAAAAGCTAAGACTCCATAAACGGACCGCGACAGTGCAAATGGCGCTCTTGAAATACAAAGATAACGATTAACGTAGAACATAAACCTCAACACAGATTGCGATGCATGTACGAAATTCCTCAAGTGCTGCGACCATGTCGAACGTGTGAAAGCTTGGTTTGTACTCGAAAAAAACGCGCGGTGAAAGCCCGCGGTTAGCTCTTAACACGAGTATCATGGCATTTGCGCAATATATACTGAAGGCAGAACGAGAATTTTGATTGTAATCTATCAAAATATTTCGTCTGTTAATCTTGTCGAGTGCTTTAAACACTTCACTTTGTTGGGGACCGAATACACCAAGTCGTAAAATTACTCTTCGATGAACTTACAAGCCATCAGTGCAACAGTGTTGGTCAGCTGTCCTTAAAAGACAAAAGCCGGAATGCAAAATTAAAGTCAATCTTGATTACTAGCCATTAGGCCAAGACTAAAAATGACTTCCTAGCCGACGCTGTGGTACTATTTCGTAATTAAACTTCTCAAAAATTACAGTTCTAGATATCAGTCGTGAGACATGTTTACATGCGGCAAAAATCTCCTCCCACGGGCCTTTGTTGAAGACGCCGCGACTGGCAGAATGAGACAAAAAAAATAAAGTTGGATAGGCTCTCGAATGTACTAACTGAATGAACTGTATCCATTTATTTGTGTGCTGTTTATAACTGCAGACGTTTCACCCGCCAAAATAAAACGATCTCGTCTCTCGCGCACATGGCGAAGACACCGCGGTTCGCAAATTTAGACAAAAGAAAGGCAAAATTAGTGGAATGAATTGTATCCCATTCCTTTGGCTTTAATAGGTTGATAGGCTGGAATGACGTGCAGAGTCTACACTGAAATTTATGTTTCTTATTGTTGCAAACTGTTGCTTTCTGAATAGAATTTAGACTTCGTATCTGTGGTGAAAGTCCTATATCGCAGCAAAAGCTCATGACTCAGGGAGAAAAAGTCTCAAAGTTACACATCAAGGTCGGCCTGGGTGAAAATGTCAATCGTCCAATATGAAGCATTTTTCCGGCTGATCACAAACCAAAAACATTTCATACTTGAAATGACCCAAATATTCTGGAGTTCAAATTACAAACCTGACAAAGCACGTGAAGGAGGACGTGTGACAACTTGATAGGAGCACTTTTACAAAGACTATAACACATGATACCCACGTGTTCCTTAACGTTAACTAAATCGCAAGGAAAACATTTTGCGGAAAATCGTCTCAGTTCCCTAAAAATAGAATACTATTTTCTCAATCTTACAAACTGTCATTTTAACTATAAAATTGTCTATTTTACAACATAAAAGTTCCCGGTTACAATTGTGTCAGTTTATTCATATTCTCTTGTTTATGGTCATCAAATGCCGTAACTGGCTCATAAACTTTCAAGGCGAATGAAAATATGAAAATTATCCCAAATATTCTTTGCAGGAGCACATGCACTGCTTAATGCCACTATAATGGAAATATTAGCTACTGCAGAAAGGTGATCACGTGACAATGCTCCTTTCTCTCTTTGCACTTATAGTACTAGTACCAAAGCTCAAGTTCATTATAATGATTTTAATAATTTGGATATATCAACAAAGTTGAAATGGTAAATTGGCCACCGTAACGATTACAAAAGCTGACGTTTCGAGCGTTAGCCCTTCGTCGGAGCTAACGAAGGGCAAACGCTCGAAACGTCAGCTTTTGTAATCGTTACGGTGGCCAATTTACCACTTCAACTTTGTTGATATATCCAAATTATTTCGTTACTCCCACCGACGCAGCCCCAAACAGTTTCTTTCGAAACTATCAGCCTTTATTCATAATAATTTTAAACACGAGACGCGGGCGAATTTATCCCAGCTGTCATCTAAGCAATCAGCTGATCTGAGCTTCGCTTTCAGATATTTCTCGCATATCAAAATAAACTTGATGTCAGTGTCCCTGTATCGTAAAATGCCATCGAGGTATTTTGTTAATTTGAAAGGAAGAGTGAGTGATCATGGATGGAAAAGGTTGTAATCATTCTAACTAAACAAATAAATTGAAAAATTGGCCAGAGTTTTGGACTAACTGGAATGGCTAGAATAGCTTCTTAGAATTTAAGAAAATTTTGAACAAAATTCACGAATTTCCATGCAAGGTTTTTTAGCAATTAAGGGCGCCATCAAAGCCTTGGGTTCACCCTAAATCTTTCCGTGATGATTAACAAGTGATTTCCTCTGTACAATATCACCTATCAACTAGGGCATGTTATTTTTATAATTCCATATTGAGAATGCATAGAAACTGGTTGGGAGAATTGTTTTTATTTGTCCGATCGGACAGCTAAACGGCTAAACTCGCCGCACACGGAGAGTAAGTGATTTGAACCCAGAATCACCAGTCGATCATGTGTTCTTAGCATTAGGCGAGAGTAGATCTAAAAGGGATCGTTTTCTATAAATGCTACAAGTTCGTTCAAAAGGGAGTGGTGCCGAGGCTGAATTTTGCGAAGGAGGAAATGGTACCCTAAAAGTAGTCGAATTGCAGAAGAAATGCAATTTTTGACCTAAAAATATGCAATAGGAAGCTTGAAAGATGAGTCGAGATTTTCATGTACTGAATCTAATATCAGCCGCACCCGATATCACACAAAAACCAAATAAGGTGATGTTTATTTCAATGTATATGGTGAAGAGATTATGATATGATACATTTGTATATGACTGTGGTGGATATTTTCTGTCTGAATTTCGTGCAATTTGTTATCTGATAAAGCCGAAGTATACATGTTACTTGAAGCCTTTTGGGCTGCAGTGTTAGAAACAACAATTCCTAGTGATGTTCTCGGCTTACTTTGGAGTTAACTCTTTGCATTCTTTAACTTGAACGGAGACAGTGTACCTAGGACATGTAATAGTGATATTTATATTCTGATACGAGCTCGTCAGTGATTAAAAGATTTAAATTCAAGTTATCAACGAAAACAATGAATCATGTATTGAGAGTTTTTATTCTCCTCTCGTAAAATAAAAAGTTGAACACGGGCGACAAGGCTGTGAAAGAAGAGACGATTAGCCAAGTTTGCCCCTGTGATTTTTTACTCGATCTATGAATCAACCCTGGGAAGAAACCTTTTCCCTGATATACAAACAGACGTATGAGCGCGGCGCCACAGGCAGACTAAGCGGCAAAGCTGGTTGAGACAAACCGGCTATCCCAGCTCCACGTAGGCTCCCTTTGGGCTGTGCTATTTTTCTCGGCTCTGCCGCTCAACGTTTTAAGGTGGACGAAAACCGTCGAGTATGAAACTGACTTAAGTTCGCTCGGCCCGGGGACACTTTGTCACTTGCGCCCTTTGCTGCTTGAGCAGAAACCATAATTTTTACACAACTAATTAATTCCGCTGGAGATTATCCCGATTTCATCGGCATGAAATGACAAAGAAAGCAGCTAGTACTTCCATATGTGTACTTGTTTATCGTGAGAGAATCTACAGAAATTAGATTATAGGCTAATGTCTTGTAATTTCATATGTCTACGTTTTGTTAGAAGAAAGGCTTGCTCAAAAACCAATCAGTGGCATGTTGCTGTTTGTCAGCCCCTCACTAATAAACGAAATAGATTGATAATGCTAACTTGATTAACCACCAAATTCTCTTAGCTGATTGACATAGAAATGAATAGCAGCCAGACGGAAGAAGTACGAAACAGATCTTGGGAGTAAGAAGATTAAAGGGTAGGAATGCTGACCAGCTGTTTAAAATAAACTTTACCTCTGAGCGGAGATATTATTTGTCTCTTTGTCGCAACGACGAATTCCCTCTATATTAGCTACAGATCAGTATCAATATCAGGTCACAAACAAGCAAACAATGATTCGCAAAAAAGTCTTTCTTCAAATGAGTGTAGCCAGTTTTGCTTACAACAAAACTCAGAAGTCAAGTTTTATGAGCATGCATCACAAAGAGACTAGTCTCCCTCGCAGCCGTTTTTTCGGATGTCACGCAACGCTCGGAGACTACAAAGAGACCCGATATCCCTCGGGATCAACATCATGTGAGTCCTCTCGGTCTCGCAATCTTTCATTGAGTTTGGCTTTGGTTGGAATCGCGTCTTCTTTCTGCTTTATTTGAGAGAGCAGATCTGAAACAGAAACCAATTTCATTCATTAAAGGTCATTGATGAAAGCATCGCTTAAAATCATTTGGCAATTCTCGAGTTTTGGCGCGCTTAGCACTCGCCATGATCTACGATCTGCAGTTCGTTCCGAGGCACATGTAGTGATACGCCGCGTTTTCACGCTTGTCTATAATAGTAAGTTAGGTTCACTAATACAATGGTAACTGCTCATGTGTGTGAGTAAGCCGTATTGAGTTGCACAGGATTTTGAGGACCGCTTCACAATTGTCTGATTTAAAACAGGCGCCCGTAAAAGAGGTGCCTACTCTGTTATCAGTATTGAGGCTGTAACGACAAGCTTCAAAACGTTTATTTATCCACTTCAAAACACAAATACATGTCCCACCAATAACGTAGCTCCATTTTCTGCCTTTAAAAGCACACACAACCCACAATTCCTCTATTCGCTCCGACGAAGGGCTAACGCTCGAAACGTCAGCTTTTATAATCGTAACAGTGGCCAATTTACCATTTCAACTTTGTTGATATATTCAAATTATTACAAATACATGTCGACACAAACTTACCATGTGTAGAAGTATCAGAGTGAAGATAATCGTTGAGTGTTCCCCAATCGTCTATAAATCGCTTTATAAGAAAATACTGATTCATTGGAGTTCCCAGGTAGCTTTGCACGCTCGCACTCGAAGATTTCTTTAAAGTTTCCGTTTGATGTATTATCTTGTCGAGCTCTTTCAAGTAATCTTCTTTTTTTGCGATGAATGCATTCAACTCCGGTAGTAACTTCTCTTCAAGTCTTAAAAGTTCACTAACACCTTTTTCTTCAAAAGAAGGCTGAAACTCCTGGGCATGTCCAGTTTCTTGAAGCCAAAATATTCCCAAGAACAAGGACGCCATAAAATCGATCATCATGGTCAAACTGATCGTAGTTAGCTTATTTTGAAGTAATCGACTCAGACTTTGAGCTTCTTTAGTGTAGTAACACTCAATATCAACAACTAAAGAAATCTTTCATCAATAATGTATGAAGTATTGCTTGTGCTTTCATTTTTTTTCTCGAAAACAACCTGCAGAAGACAAAATTAAGCCGTCACCGTGCAGTAATATGTAATCTTTTCATTTTTTCTTTCCGTCTCTCTAATGAAAATTTAACTTTCGTTCTCAGGTTGCCTCTCTTTTGCTGAGAAAGCCTTCAGTTAAGAACTGAATGCCAATGAATATATCTTTACGGAAACAGTAGTGAAGAAGTCCCGATGTTTTAACGGGATTTTAAGGTCTACGGTATCGATGTTTTCTCGAAGTTTGAAATTTTCAGATAAGAATGGCTATAAAATAAAATGTATAAGCCGGTTTTCTTGCAGAAAAGGAAACTTAATTCACATCTCTTTACTATTGTTTTCTTACATTGCTCACTAATGAACGTTTCAGCATAATTAGGTAACGGAAGTGTGGGTTTAGGTGAATGCAACCCAAATAAACTTTCCAAAAAGACGGAAAATACTCTGAAGGTACCTAGAAAGAGGCGACATTCGAAATTTCAACGTTAAAATAAGTAGTGGCTAGGGTGGGGTAAGGAGTTGTTTGGCCCTGTTTTAATTCTTCAAGACGAGGCTAGTGTACATGCGCTCTCCAGACAAAGCACCATGGCGGAGACTTCATGATCGGTAGGTGAGGACTGTTTTTTGACAAAATCAGCTCTGTTTCACCAGGTATGGACTAATTTATCCTTCAAAAACGTTTAGTCTTAAATAATACGTTTCATTTTACTTTTTTGTTCCGCTAATGTCTGTGATAAAGTGTAGGTTTGTTTGTCAATGCACAAATAGTGACTCTGGCCGGTACGCGATACTCTGTATACGGTGTGTATGTCTGGAAAACTTAGTTCGTTTTATGTCAGCTGACCGAAACATCCCTTAAACAGAATGAAATGCGAATGTTTTTTATTAGATTTGTATGTTTCGATCACCTTTTGTTCGCAGAAAAGGTTGGTGTAATTCATTTGAAATTTGCAAATCGATTCTGTTTTAGTCAGATCAGATCAAGTTGAATCGTGGTCTCCTACCTAAGGAACGATGAATAAGATTTGTTTCAATTACGTTTGGTTGATTATCCTTGTGAGAAACGAGCTCACATCTCTATCAATACTGGTACAGATCGGAAGGAAATTAAACCACAAACTAGATCACGAAGGATACCGCTTGTTTGCTCACCGCATGTTTGCATCGTTTTGAGAATGTCGAAATTAACATTTTGTCTGTTCTTTTTTTTATACATACGATCAATTGACCTTCAGGACAAAACAGGAACTCTTTAACGACATGTAACGTTAGGGCATTAAATTAAAATGTTTTTGTAAGAATTCCTTTGGTTGGTGTTATTGTGTTTACCATGTACAATTTTAATTTGCTTCAGTATGCCATTCTCATTTGCCAGTACCTGTAGATAAATTAATTGAATGAAAAGTAAGGACTGTATTTAGTGATTATATTTATTGTGACTGTCAGGAAACTTTGACCAAAAAGATGGCTTCCATAGCAGGATTTCAGTACACTCCTGAGAACATGCAAAGGCTGGAAAAGGTGACTAAAAATTTGGTCTCATTATAAATGTGAGGTTGAAATTCTTGTTTATTTTTCAACTTTTTTTGGCATGTTTGTCAACAAAGACATAGAGGTAGTTATGGTTTATTAAAAATGTCAGATAATATAAGAACACCCTAATTTTATATCAAGTATGGTACTTTATACAAAATCTTAAAAGCAAGCTCCATTGAAAAAGAAATGTACCTACATCTTTGTTTTGGTCATCTTCAGCAGACAAAATCTGTTTTATTTCTACTGTTACCTTAATTGCATTTTAGTGGCACATGTTTTAACAATATGTCTTATTCTCAGGCATTGCAAACTATGCAAGAGAGAGGAATGGAATCAGATCCACGCTATGCACAGTTGATGTCATTGCTTAGAGCAAAACCTGCTTCTGTTGACATGCAAGATGCTCGCCATGGTCTTCAACTTCCTCCTCCTTCCATGTCAATGGGTTTGGGAAATATACCACCAGGGACTGGAGTGGGGGGAGATATGCAAACAAGAAATTCCCCAGCTCCCAATTTGTTGTCTCAAGCCTCACAAAAAGCTCACAGTTTCTCCTCTCCGCAATTGTTACAGCTCAGAGCGCAGATCATGGCCTACAAACTCTTAGCTCGTAGTCAGCCTCTTCCAGAACATATACGCATTGCTATTCAAGGCAAGTCACCTTCTGCAAAACCAGCAGGGTCAGGTATCCCTAGTAGTGGTGTTCCACCTCAGTCAAGTCAGTTACCCTCAAGGACTCAGAATCAACCTGGAAATCAGTCAGCACCTCAAAGCCAGGCAAATATTGGTGCAGGGAGCTCTACGACATCTCCTGCTGTTCCTGTTCCAAACCAGACAGCATATAATGTCCCTGGAATGACAGCTGGTAGGGTGCTAACTTATAGTGTAATTACATGGAACTATATGTGTGTTCCGCTAAGTGTGTAAACATTTGGCATTTGTAGTTAAATTTTTTGTTTTTTAACAAAGTGATCAAAAAAATAAATCAGGCAAGTTTCAAGTCCTCATAGAGACTCGAGTTTTCCTAATCATATGCTTGCAATAAATGTTTGAAATCTTTCTTCTACCACTAAGCTGAAGATTTGCCATCTTCATGATTACTCTACCATATTTTCCATTCAGGAGGCCTTCAAGTTTTCTAAGCTTGTAGCGTTGTAGAGGACACTTGTCAGACGTGAATCTATTACAAAGTAGTGCAGGGATAGGTGTTCATCAGGTGTCAGTAATGGAAGAATTCTCTGGCTGTTAAGAAGAATTCTCTAGCTAAAGGTCACTTTCCTGAGCTGTCTTTTGTTTGGACAGAAAGAGGATATGTTTTAAATTCTCTTGTTACTTTATGCTTTTATGAGTAACTCTTCTATGTTAGTTCAGAGAACTTGGTAAAGGCAGGGCTCGACACTCACTTTTCAACTTACTAGCCAAGTGGCTAGTTACAACTTAGATGTTATAACAATTTCAGTTTGGAAATCGAAAACCACTAGCCAAAACTGAATTTCTACAAGTCTGTGGCTAGTTGGCTACCATTAGTGTTGAGCCCTGTATAGGATCAACTGATAATCCCCTTAAATACATGAAAAAATTTCTCAGTTCTGATTGGTTAAGATGAATGCAGTTTTCAGTTAATTCAGTGCAGAAGAGAGTTAATTCAGTGCAAAGAAAGAAACAAAACAGACGTTCTGATTGGTCAGAATGATTGGTCAATGTCAATGTGAAGGTCAATGTGAAGGTCAATGTCACTTGCACGGTTTGAATAAATTATTTTTGCACGTGATGCGCGTGCTCTTCTTCTGCATAGTTATGAGAAGCTACCTCATATTTTTTCATGTATATTACTAATAGATAATCACATGTTTTTCTTGTGCAATATGGAATAAATAAGCACTTGTAAATTTTTTCAAAGACCACAAATTGCACTCGCCCTACGGGCTCGTGCAATTTTGTTAGTCTTTGAAAAAATTTACTTATTTATTTGCAAATTGCACTCGAAATCATGTGATTACCTATACAAATCAATATTTTTGTTTTATTCTCATCACTTGCCTGCTTGACTTTGTATTGATATTGTTGGGAGAAATAATGCTTTGATCACTCATGGGAGTTAAAAGGTTAATGAAGACGTTCTACTTAGCCTGCTTTATGGTCTGGCTTGTCCACAGATTCTCTGTCGTGGCTTAGTTGGTTGAACATCTGAATTGGCTGGGGTTTGAGTCATATTAGGGGACTTGAACATTAATTCATAATTTTTCCTTCTATAACCAGCTCAACAGCTACAGAGTAAACAGGCAACAGGAACCAGCCAGTCAACAACTCCTGCATCATGGGAGGCAGCCAAAGGTGCTGCTGCCAGTGCTATTGCAGCAGCAACACAGCAGCATAAGCTCAAAGAGCAGCAGCGGCAAGCACTTGCACAGCAACAGCAGCAACAACAACAGCAGCAGCGCAAGGTACAGACCCCAGGGACCACTCAAGGAGGGATACAGATGCCTAGTAAGCCTCGCTTGGCACCAGTGGCTAAACCTGTTGGACTTGATCCTGTTACTATTCTGAAAGAAAGAGAAAACAGGTATGACTACTCCCAGCTCTTGTATTAACTAATGTGGAGTTACACATGAAGCCATCAGAGGGTTCTGCCACCTAATCAAGGCATTGACTCTCCCTTGGCTGGGATGTTCTGTCAGATGAAAAATTTGATTGGCAACACAACATTGACAACAGTCTAATTTCTACTTATGAATAAAGGCTGATAGTTTCGAAAGAAACTGTTTGGGGCTGCGTCGGTGGGAGTAACGAAATAATTTGGATATATCAACAAAGTTGAAGTGGTAAATTGGCCACCATAACGATTACAAAAGCTGACGTTTCGAGTGTTAGCCCTTCATCTGACGTTTCGAGCGTTAGTCCTTCATCGGAGCCCTTCGTCTTTCGCTCCGACAAAGGGCTAACGCTTGAAACGTCAGCTTTTGTAATTGTTACGGTGGCCAATTTACCACTTCAACTTTGTTGATATATCCAAAATAGTTTCTACTTACATTAAGCTACACCCTTTTCCTCGAAACTCATAAGAAAACCCAGTGAGTAAATAATGATACTGATAATAGTTTCAAGCCTTTTTTTTTATAAAAAATCTTTTTCTGGAATTTTTTTTAACTTACATAATTTGTACATGTAATATTTATCGTAGATTTTCATATCAGTGACATGGAGAGGTACACTGGATATGTATAAATGTGTTGTTTGTATAAACTTTTACGAGATTTGATTAGTAGTTCTCCAGCATATATTTTTTTTGGAAGTAATTGTCTCTCAGAGAACTTTGTATTTTTTATCAGGGTTATTCCTTATAGCTGTGTAAATTTGTGTAACCTTACTAGTCACTTATTGAG